AACTCTGGGGAGACCCCAGACACAATCTTAGGGTTTAGAATTCGTGCTTCTAGGGTGTAGGGCTTTGGGTTTGGGTTTGCAGGCTTTCTTGTTTTTAGCTGAGCTCTAAACCCTAAACATTTAGCCCTATAGGGCTCCATGTACCTATATAGTATAGACTGAGGCCTTCCAGGTTCCTATATAGGCCCTCTTAAGGCTTAGGCCTAAGTATATACTATGTCGGTACATGGGGCCTGATATAGGGTTCGTTCCTCCAAAGATCATGCAGGGTGACGCCTTGCACAAGCCCGCCGGACCTCAACATCCAAGGCTTTGTAACCTCGAAATCTTGGAGTGCCGTCACCCTCCTTGTCTCAAAGTTCGTATGGAAGCCTGATTCTTTACGTTTGAAGAAGCTACAATAGCTGAGCAATAACTCTCCTCCCTGAATCTTCATACAAAGGCCCCTAAGGCAAGGGAGTTAATCTACTTAATCTAGGGGTCTACCTTACTCGACCGACAGCCTACCCCCTGGAACCCCGATGCACATACAAGCCTCACGGCCACGTAACAGCCCTGAAGTCGTTCTGTGCTTATGCCCTGAGATGGGATACCGTAAACACTACACAAGAACGGCTGGTTCCCACAACTTTAGTAAAATCTGCTCGGGAAGCCCGAGCAGAAGATTGATAAACGTAATGGTTCTGCTTGTTGGTTGTGGTTTTATGGTTGGTGCTTTAGATTTTTAGGGTTGTGGGTTTTGGGGTTCAGGGCTTTAATCTAGAGGTCAAAAAACTACAATACCTGTTCTTCCTTCGTGGTCATGAGTCTTTTTGTGGAAGATGCCCCAAGAACCAGTTCTGCTTGTTAAAGCCCCTTCACTAAACTCATACAGTTTGTCCTTTCGAAGCTAGAAAACAAGAAGAAAGCACGTGAAGTCGCAAGCCACGCGAAGCCTTAGCGCCCTTGCAACAAAGCTCCGAAGCAAAGACATGGATGATGGACAAGTTTAGCAACTCCTCCATACCCATGCTGGCGGAGATTATGGGCAAGGCAGAGTCCACCCAAGCCTTTGAATACTTTGTAACATGTATCCCCCCTTTGGGCCCTATTGTTTTTCAGCATACTGGAAATTGAACCAAAGCCTCATTTTCACTTGTGAAGGCCCCCAATGACACGCGCCTGACTCACTCTTTCCATTCTGCATTGCCTCTGTGAAATTTAAGGTCATCGGGTGCGACTTGCACCCCGTCGCGTTCTCAGAGGGATGTCTTGGGGGTTGCTACTACTTTATGGAACCCACGAGGCAGACTAGAAGGGTGTAGGATTATGAACTACAGCAATTCAATACCGTGACAGAGTGTGCCCGGACAGGAGCTTCAACGAGTGAGACTCCAGTGTCGCTGCACCTACCCAGTCAAAACCCTGTAAACCCTAAACCCTGCAAGTCCTAAACCCTCTACCTCAAAAGCCCTCCACATTACTGTAAAGCCGAAGTCGAAACCACAAGCAGAACTTCCCTACATTCTTGTTACCTGTACGGCAAGGAATTTGATCAAAGCCACCATACTAGGGATCTATCGTAAATCATACAAGTTTCCTTAGTACCGTAATTGATTTCGACTCCTTAACCCCTAAACCCTAAACCCTAAGGCAAGGTGATGGAGTCTCCAGGGGCCTGAGAGTGGTCTTGTGTTCAGGCTTGCGGCTTGGGGTTTCTGGATAGTGTGCAAGCGTGAGGGTCGAGGGTTAGGGATAGGGTATAGGCTCTACTAGGATTGGGGGCTTAATTAGGTTGAGGGTTGAGGCTTTCAGATTGAGGGTTGAGGCTTTAAGGTTGAGGGTTATGGTTTAGGGTTTAGGGTCTGTGGTGATGGGTGAAAGGAACCGATAAGATCTAGTGTCAATGCATTGTCTTAGGATGCGGGGTCGACTGCGCAGCTTTAGGAAGCTGCTCGAAGAGTCGTCTGATCTAGGGGCCTGACACTTACTGATGCTATTACGAGGGTTCCGAAATGTAGTTAGCTATACTGTCTATACGAGTCTATACTGTTACAGTATATATCAGTATATCCCCAGCCAAACTTTGTTTATCAAGGCCCTTGCACTGCGGATTTCGTGCTTCGTAGTGTGAACCTTGCCATCGGACCCTAAGAGAATCGAGTGACCTCTCCAATGTAGTATTAGGGAGACCCCTCAAAGGACCCTACTTATGGCTCTCGACCTTATTCAGAGGGTTTATATATCTCCAAGGGTCCCCCTGGACTCCCTGAGCAGAATTCGGCTCGACACCGAGTCTCCTACTTTCTAAGCTTGTTGGTCCAACAAGTTTCCGGTATACTGGGTCTCTTTGTTTCTGTGCAGGGTCTCGGGCTGAAGTTTACGGTTTAGGGTTTAGGGTTGAAGATATCTGGTGCTGGGCTTCGGTTTTGGCGCAGGTTAGGCTTGCAACAGCTTTCGCGCCTACCCGGACACTCCACACCATATAGTACTGCAGAAGCTTAGATTAGTACCAATACTATTTTTGGAGCTCCTTTTCGTAATTCTAGTTTAATATCATTCCAAACCCCATTCTAACTATTATGGCACCTATATTAGGCAATGACTCCATCATATGGGGGTTAACATAGAAGCCTGACCAGGTGAATTGCACACAGCATTCCTTGGGTGCCTTGTTATGTCTTTCCTAGTCTTGACTATTGCATGCCCCCGAAACCCTGTTCCAAACTGTTGCCGCTGCTATGCTGTAGCCTCGCAAAAGAAGCAATGCAATGGGTTCGGCTTTGAGCTCGAGAGACTTCCACAAACGTACGATCCGCGGTATGCCCTCTGTCCTTTCCGACCCCTTTAACTTCGACCCTTCATAAAAGGCACGAGCTTTCTGATGTATGGATCCTTATTGTACATTTCCCACACCAGAGTTTGCACCACCCCACAAGCTCCAAACACTCCGTTGTTTTCTTCGCCTCCCATGGCCAGTCCTGGTTTGTTTGGCAAAGCGATGGCAGGTGCGAGCTGCAGCAGCGATCTGCCTGGCGCAGGCAGACCTAGGTGCAGCCAGCCGGTGACTTCGACAGTTGATCGGCCCGATAAATTTATCGGCTTTGTGACTGGGGATTAGGATTACGGTTTAGGGCTCAGGTTTTGGAACCTATTTTGGCAAGGTGGGATATCTAGATGACTGGGTCGAGGTGCACCTCGTGACACCGTTTGCTTGTTGGGATGCCAATGATGTAAAATACAGGGGTCGCCCAAGAGAGGCTAAACGTCATCTTCAACCTTCAGCCCCGAGGCATGCAGCTTGCTGAACCCTAGACCCGGCCCTAGACCCTTAAGCCGAAACCCTCAAGAGCAATATAACCTCCATGGTTGTGCAAGCAAAGACAACTGCAGCATGCCCTAATTAAAGGCTTCGTTAGTTCCTGCGGAGTTGTAAAAATTACACACCCCCCCTTCACCCCTCCGCCACCGGCCTAAAAAACCCAGGAAGCCGCTAACATTGCACGGCAGGTGTTGAGCGAAATGTTGCTGTGGATATCCGCGTCGGCGACTGCGCTGATGTTTCGGGTTCAGGGTTTAGGGTTTAGGTTTAGGGTTGTAGGTTTTGGGGTTTAGGGTGAAGGGTTTTAGGGCCTTTAGGGTTTAGGGTCATGGATTCGAGGTCTGTATCGTGCTAAACTGTACTCTAAGAGCCTTGAACTAGAAATGCGACAATCTTAAGTCCAGCTGAAGACCCTAAACCCTGCACAACAAACTCTAAACCCGGAGCCCTACACCCTAAACTCTAGACCCCTAATTAACATCCAGCCCTCAAGGGGATTCCGTCCTACCGGCACCTTGATCCAAAGCCCTTGAAGCCCCATGGATGCTTACAAGACGCAAATCGCACGGCCTAAGCCATAGAACCCTAAACGATCCTACAAGTCTTGTAAGCCCTAAACATCCCTGAGTATCCGTAAGTCATAAGCATGTAAAGGGCGCTGTCGGCGTGGAATAGAGCCTTGAACATTGGCTTGGAGCAACACGATTGCTGTGTTGTAGCTTTTGCCATGGACTGACACAGGTTTGGCCTCAGAATTACGGGCTCAAAAGGTTTTGAAGAACGGCTGCAGGACTCAAGTTCACCATGACCCTGACACGAATATCTGACAAAACCACAGGGGGACTCGCATAGGTCAGCAATCGGATCCCCATTCATTCTGGTCCCCACCCCAAAGCCCTCCTCTAAATGTCAAGGCCCTTTGCAACCATGACCCCGAGCTCCTCTCGCTATAAACTTGAGGTCGATGAAAACTATGCCCCTACTTCCCGACGTCTAAGTCCGCCCTACCACGTCTTAGATCCTAATATCGAACCCAGCAAACCCTCAGAGTTGAATCCCAACCAAATTTGAACCTCGCAGCCCTAAACACTACTCCCGAAACCCTAAACCTCAGCCTTCATTTCTTTTTGTCACCCTAAATAACCCCTAAAGCACAAACCGCAAGCCTTTCTCCTAGCCGTGGGCCTATTCCCTCCCACACCCCGAGCCCTCAACCTCACATCCTACATCGCCCTACATCATTCGGGGTTTTATAGTCTCCATATTGTAATGTTACCTTGTAGTATCCTAAATAGAAACATGAGTTAAACCGAAAAAAGGGACAACAATAAAGACGAGAGGTACAGCCCAAAACCCTGTGATTCCCCTGAACCCTAAGCCTTGAGCCCTCCATCCCAACCCCTACAACTCTTACAGGCTCAAACCGGCTTAGGGCTTAGGGTTTAAAAGCAGAAAACCGTTTGCGCCCGGATGCCCCCGCACCAGAGCCCGAAACCCCTTACCCCCAAACCAAAAACTTGAATTACCTAAAGCCTAGACCCTTTGACACTAAACCCTAAACTCTATGAAGCCAACTTGGAACCCCCTCCCCACATGCAAAACAAAACTCAATAAAGCAAGCCTAGTAAACCCAAACCCAAAACCCCAAACCCCAACACAACCCTAAACCCCTTACCCCAAAACCTTAAACCGTAAACACCCAAGCCCCAGACCTGAACCGAAAAGCCCAAAGGCCAAGGGGAGCAGCTGCTGCCGAGACTGAGGTCCGCAGTGCATGAGACAAACTCGGAAAACTCTGATCTACCCTAAACCCCTAAACCTTAAGCCTTGAGGGGGTTTAGTTTATGTTTATGGGTTTCTAAGGGGCGCAGGGTTAGGGTTGGGAATTCGGATTTGGGGCTTAGTTTATGGTGTATGGGAGTCTGGGATTTAGGGATTTTGGGTTTGGGGTTCGGGGTTTAAGGCGTTTATAGGGTTTTGTGTATATCTAGGGCATATTCAATAGGATTTGGTTTTCAGACAAAAAGTCCGACGCATGTGCACGAGGCCTATGCTGGAGGCGGAGTCAGACTGACGAACACAATATTTCACACCTTCAGGGTGTCGAGGACCCAAGAATTAGGCTCGTGGACGTAGGATTGTCGTTATATAGGTTGGAGTTTGCAGGGCGTGTATGGACTGTTATGGGAGTTTCAAGGAGTTTCAGGCAGTTGAGAAGGGCTCGACTTCAAAGTTAGCCCAAAGAGGTCCTGCTGAACGACTTCGAGTTGAATGCAGTTATTTTAACTCCCTAAACCCCTAAACTCCTCAACCCTAAATCCCTGTGCCTATAACCCTAAATCCTCAGCCCCGATAACTCTAAACCCCAATAGTCCTAAACCCTAAACTCCTATAGCCTATAGCCCTGAACCCATATAGCCCTACACCCTTAAACCCCTAAACCCTAAACCCTGAATCCCTCGAACTCTAAACCCGAAACCCCGATAACCCTAAACCCAAAACCCCTATAACCCTAAACCCTGTACCCCTACAGCTCTAAACCCCTAAACCCCTGTAACCCTAAAGCCCTGAACCCCGATAACCCTAAACCCCTGTACCCCTAAAGCTCCTAAACCCGGTTAATATTAGCTCATGTGGGAGCCCTCAGCCGCTTCCTGTGCCCGGTCTTGCGCAGCCTTAAAAGCAGCTTCTTTTCATCTTAATATCCGTTTATGAAGGAACCGTTAAAGGGGCCCTACTATAGAACCTTCGAGTGCCCGTAAAGGAGCAGCTGAAACTTGGGTTCAGAGTTTGGGAGTTTGGAATCTGTCAGGAGTCTGGAGTTATAAACGCTGAACCTTAAGCCAACCCATTAGTATGGCAAACCCCAAACGCCAAACCCCCAAACCCCGAGCCCTGAATGACGACGCTCTTTTCCAGCCACCCTTCGTGTCTCTTCCGCAGGGAGGAGCTTGGCCCGAGGTCCCTTCTGCCTTTTGGCTTTTCAGCTTGATAGAGTTTAGGGTATCTTTTATATTTGTTCCCACATATCTCTATGTCTCTCAGTATTTCTATATCTCTATATCTACATATCTGTATACCTATATCTATACATACATATATATGTATGTGTATAACTCTTGAGGGTTACAAGGTTATAGGGTAAGTTGAGGTAGTTGGGCTAGAGGCTTGGGGCTCAGGGTTTGGCGGATGTGGGTTGGGAGGCATCCCTGTTTTCGCTTTCGGGCTCCTTTGAGGTTTAGGGTTGCTTGACAAGGTTTAGGGTTCCTTTGAAGGGATCAGGCGTCTGTTGCAGGATTAGATATGTTTGAGGTTCGGGTTTGAGTACGGTGATCTACGTACAGTCTCCATTTCAGTTCCTTTTTGGGGTTACCTTATAGGATCCTAAATCCAAGAATGGTTAAGCCAAAAGAAGGAGCCACAATGGAGACCATAGGTACGTCGTGGGGTGTCGAAGTGCTCTGTTCGGGCCCACTCTTTTAGGGTCAAGTCCCTGGTTGTCAAGACAAAGCAGCAGACAGGGTTTAGGGTTTGGGGTCCAGGGTGGCAGCATGCATGCATGCATGCATGCATGCATGCATGCACACCACTAAACTCCCTATACCTTGCTTGTTGGTCGGGCGTGGGGGATGTTTGGATAGAGTTCGCTATGCTTTCACGACAGAGGCGCCAGATGAAGTGTTTGGAGAGGCTAAAATGGCTCAGAGTTTAGGGAGGGTTTAGGATTCGGGGATGTTAAACATGGCCAAACAAGTTCAGTCCTCAGCAGCTCTCCATGACTACTTCCTCGAGATTCCGGACTAGAACCTTGCTGTAGGTTTTGTTCTCATCATGCTCCGCCTAGTGTCTAGGCTACAACAAGTTAACTTTGCATTGGGAGCTTTCGACTCCTGACCTATGAAGACTCCTCAGGTCCCCCTGCATTATTATGAAGATGCATGCATGCTGTGTGTTGCCTTGAGAGCTGCTAAACCCCACAGCTCGCACCGCCGAGACTGCAGTTGGAGTTTGCGTTTGTTAGTCTCACGATCATAGGCGTGCAGTGCCCAACCAAAACCAACCCTACTCCATACCCTGGGGCTCTAAATAGCCCAAAGCTAGACCCCAAAGTTGGTACTGTTTGCATACTTGGAGCCTAGGGATAGACCTAATCCCCCCCCTTCCCCGGCCCGAACTTGCCCGAAGCAGGTCTGTCAATATGGTGGTGCTCGGGAGCACGCAAGGCTTCAGTCAGATTCAGGGTGGAGCATTAGCGCGATGCTTAACCCAAAGGGTCCTAAGTACTGCATAGTAGAAATTAGGGTTCCTGTGTAGGCTTTTTGTTGTGGTTTGGATAAGTATCCCCATACAGATACTTAGGACCCTTTGGGTAAGGGTAAGTCCGGAAGGTAAGAGCTTGAAACCAGGGACATGTGCTGGGTTGGCGGCATGATCTGAAAGTTGGAGATGAATATGTTTAAGTCTAAGGCGAGCCATACTTGCTGCAAACAGAAATAGATGGCCTTCAACCGTTTTTGGTTTAGGTAAACGAAAAAAGCCTGCCACAATGCATTATTTCCGTCAACTCGGATTTTCAAGCCGCAGCCATTTCCCTCCTAAATATCAGAATATCAAACCAACCCAGGGAGGATCCGGAGTACAAGCGCCGAACACGAAGTAGAAGCCCCACATTCCGGGCAGACCCACCCCCTGAACCCTTCAGCGAAACTTGTTAGCGACATCTTGCTCCCTATCCGCTAAGCCGGCGCCCTATGCCTTGAATTCCCAAATCCGAAACCAAAAGCCTAAAGCTAAGGCCTAAACCCCCAGCTCGAACCCTGAACTCTAAACCCTAAACTCTAAACTCTAAACCCTAAACTCTGAACCCTACACCCTAAACCCTAAACCCTAAATCCCTAAGCCCTAAACCCGAAGTCTTTGCCCCCAGCTTAGCCCGCGGGTACCCGCCCAGCCATGGCAAAGCGCGTTAGAGAAGAGCGGCCGGAGTCCGGGGTGGAGGCCTCTTGTTTTGTTGGTTTTAGGGGTTTAGGGTGCAGGGGTTGAGGGTTTAGGTCTAGGGTTTAGGCGTTTAGGGGTTTGGGGTTTAGGGTTTGGGGGTTTAGGGTTTCGGTCCCTTTTTTGTTTCTTGCCTTCTGTTTCAGGTTTGAGGGAAGAGGGAAGTGAGTGGGGATAAACCCGAAACTCTAAACCCGAAACCCCTGTTCCCTGAACCCCTAAACCCTAAACCCGAAGCCCTAAACCGTGGAGTTTAGATGACTTGCGTTGTTTTAAATGTTTCTGGGTCCAGGATTTAGGGCCTGCGAGGCTTGCGGTATCACGGGTTTGCGGCTTCAAGATTTGAGGTTTCCCAGAGCCTTACTTAATTACAGAAGATCGTGTAAACTCATATACATATCTATATATGTCTGTATGTATATACGGATCCTAGTAAAAGTTATAAGGTCTATTCCTTAATCACGGGATATTGCAAGGTCTGGGTTTAGGGTTGTTGAGACGTGATTGTGTAGGCTTGAGGACTTAAAGGTTTAGGCTTCGGAGTCTACGGTGCTAGAGTTTCGGGTTTAGGATTCAGGGTTTAGGGCTTAGGGGTTTAGGTTTTAGGGTTTGGGAGTTTCGGGTTTAGGATTCAGGGTTTCTGGTTTAGGTTTAGGTTTTGATCCAGAGTTGTCGGTTTCAGGGCTTTGGGGTTGAAGCCGTGACTTGCTTTAGGCTTGCGGCTTTGGGGCTTTAAGAGGTTTCAACCCTAAACCCTAAACTCCAAACCCTAAACTCCAAACCCTGAACTCCCAACCCTAAACTCTAAACCCTTCAGGGTGCAGTTCGAAGTTTTTTGGTTAAGGGCTGAACGGATCTAGGTGTGGGCCGAGATACGACTCTACACTCTGCATCCTGAATCCCACAAACCCCATCTTACCTCCCAGACCATACACATAAGCCCTGACCCGAAGTCCCACATCAGAAGCCCCATGCACTCATCCCTAATTTTGACTCTAGGGTTTTTGCTCCGATCATTCGAGCTTCAAGCTCTGTGTAGCATACTTTCTGTTTCTGCATCTTATCGCATCAGTGCAATGATACTTGGCTGCTGCATTTTCCCGAAAATACCTCGGGTGGTCGAGGAAGCGGGCACTATCTCCATGTCCGTGGCCAGATTCAGCGTGCTGCCAAACTTGTTAGCAAACCCTAAACCTCATACTATAGGGGGGGCTTAGGGGGCCTAAGTAAGTACCGATACTATGTTGCTATGTTGTGGTCTTTCCAAACAGAGTATACTGTATTCCGAAAAACCCTCGTCTAATCATTACGGCCCCTGCTGTCAGACCCTAAACCTTATAAGCCCTAAGCCCTAAACCCCATAAGCCCCTAAGCCCTAAGCCCAACGGCTTCTACGAAACTTTGGGCTGTCTTGCATCCCTCATAAGGATCCTTAGGGGGGCGGGGGGCCGTGGTAATACTTGTACTAAGAACCTAACAAGGCTTCTTCAGGAAGTATCGTCCCTGAATGCAGTCCCCTGACTGCCTACGGGTCCCTATGAATCCCTCTCAGTCCGACCTACGGACAGGCCTCCCGCATTTCCCCTTGTTTTGATCCATGCGACATGTCGGGCATCGGGGGCTTCGTTTATCTGAGAGCATGCTCTTTCGGGTTTCTATAGCTAAACCAGCTAAACCTCGAGCCTTAAGTTTTAGATCTAGGCGCAGCTGATCGCCCGGAGCTCTTTCGCCGCGCTCTACGAGCCAGAGGACACAAGTTGGCTTAGTAAGGGAGCTGCAGGTAGGTAAGCAGCGCGGAAGGTAGACGCTAGGTAAGGTAGGTCGGTGGGTAGGTAGGTAGGCAGGCACTCAGGGAGGCAGGCACTGAGGTAGGCAGGTAAGCGAGTATGTATGTTGTAGAACCAGCTCACACATAAACCCTAAGCCCCGAGCCGTAACACCATAGTTATGCTCTCCTGTCGTAGCATCAATGGCTGTGGGGCCATGTCGCACAGATGTCGGCTTGAGTTGTTGTTTTTGTTTTTTGTTTTGTGCGTGTGGGTGTGTATCCGTGCGTGCCTCTGCTATACTACTGGGATTCAGAACTCTAGGGGTGCCATATTAATTGCATAGAGTACCTCATTGAGTCATTGAGGGTTCTGATAAGATGGATCCTACCCTTTGGTTTTGTTAGGGTCCCCTATGTTCTGAAACTCCCATACTGGACGTTTCATCCACACAGATTCACATTGAGTTGGTGGGGTTTCTCTGTTGTTTTTAAACCTCAAACCTGCGACCTTGAACCCTAAACCGTAAACCCTAAATTACTAAACCCCGAACCCGAAACCCTTGAACCTACCGGGCCATGGGTTAACCCTGGCTTCGTTCCTTAAACGAAACCCTGTAACCTTAAACCTCAAAGGCGTTTTGGCTCATCAAAGCTACATGAACTCCTGATAGAAACCCAATGTGAATGCTTGAAAAACACCCATGAAGCCTTGATCCTAAGTATCCTTCCGGCACCAGGAGAAGATCCGCACCATCGTCGTCGAGCCTCTCGGCCCGTCTCGCCGCAGTGCGGCTTTCGACCCGGGGGGAGGGGAGCATTCGCAGGTAGTCAGGTCCCAAACCCGAAACCCTAAACCCCAAACTGTTAAACCCCATACCACAAGCCCTGACGGGCCTCGGCGTAACAGGTTTAGGACTTGGTGTTCGGGGTTTCAGGGAGATTCTTGCTTTAGGGCTTGGGTTTAGGGCCCTGAAGCCAACAGCTCGGAAAATCAAGCCTTCCTCTGATAAGTAATAGAACCGTAAGGTTGCAATCCCCACACACCCTAAACCCCTGACCTCTGGATGGTAAATCGGGTTATCGTTCGCGGGGTTCAGGGTCTAGGGGTACTTTCTCAAGGGTTTTCGACATGAACTCCTGTACCGTGCAGCCTACTTTCAGCAATCGAAACCTACATCTTTCGTCGGATATCGGCGGTATCCTGACACTAACACAGAGCTTACAGGGGCCCAACTCTGAACTGTAACTGATGTACATGTAGCTCAAACTCTGAAGCATTTGAAGCCAAAGCGTATGAGCAATCAGCCGAAAGGCCTGACCCCTAAAGATTGAGTCGTAATCACCGAGCCGGACGGCCGGAGCAAACGTAACTCTGAACTCCGCGATCCACATTCCAAAACCTGAACCCCAGACTTGTTGATTGTTGACCCTGGACCCTGAATTCGTAATCACAATCCCCAAGCCCTCAAGCCCTTTAACACTAACCTCCGAGATCAGACTTTTTAAAACCAAGACGCGCAAGCCCTGAACTAAACTCGCTTCAATGGAAGCTTGCGGAGGGGCACCTTTTCAATACTGGCAGGGTGATGCAATGGACGAAACCACAAACCCGTAACACCGCAGAGCCCAGGAACTTTCCCGCCCTGGGGCAGGCGGCGGCATGGAGATTCCTCGACTTTTGGGGAGCATTAGCTGGATTCGGGCTTAAGGGGTCCATAGGGCTTAGGGCTTGGGCCTCTAGAGTTCTACGGGGTCAAGGGTCTACGGTGTTGTGTAAGTTTCGAGTTTAGGTTGTAGGGGTTTAGGGGTTTAGGACCCAAACCCCTCGACCCTTTGCCCAAGCTCAGGAATGGGCGCAGCAAAATCCTGAAGGCGTTTGCTCGCTGCCCACTGGCAAGACGCCCGAGCGCCTTCTTCTCAAGCAGTATTAGCGACTCCTTCGGGGTTCAGGATTTTGGGTTTGGGGTTCAGGAGGGTTTAGGGTTTTGGGAAGTACTCAGATAGTGCATACTTTGGCCCGAGAGGTCCTGAATAGGAAGCATGTTGGACCAGCATCTATACTCGCTGAGTGCTTGGATGCTTGCTTTCTTGAGTCTCGCGGCTTCTCGACAACCTATACAAACCCCATTAGTACCCTTCTGCCCGTTTTATCTCGGGATGCTCTATATAGTTCACGAAAACCGAATAGTGGGAAAACCCGAAAGCTCGCTACTCAGTTTGAATTGAACGGGTCACTGGAGAACCTAGAAATAGCCCTACAGCACGGACTGCATACGGACTGCCACACCGGCTCTCTGCATACCTAGAGGAAACCCTAAGAACTGAACCAGCGATCATAACTCAGTTATGTTTGAGTAGATAGCGAGGAGACGTACATCAAATAGACGTAGTGACATATAGAAATTTGGATCACGTAGTCTGTTCGTACATATATGTTTATGTACATACATACATACATAC